CTGTGTTTGCTTTTAGAGATGCGCAGCGGCTCAGCTGTTACTATATTTGGAACTATTTTCGTTGATGAAATATATACAATAAGAATGTGTGCGGGAGCGTGACACACACGTTGCGGGAGTGGGCGGTAATGGTCAGAAATTCAGCGGCAGCGGGCTTAAGAAAACTGTCCCGCTCGGGGCTCTAGGCTGCGCATCAATTTTTTTTCGCGCTCCCCCATCTCCACCCCCAATCATTAGTGCCGCTTCTTCTGTCTTTGACAGAACATATAGGACAATTTTTTAAATAGCACCATAAAATTTATTTCAAATTTAATTCAAGCACTTTCAAGGACCTATGTTTGTTTTCAAGTACTTTCCAGGCCTTGAATCCATATGTCTGAAATTCAAGTACTTTCAAGAAGCGTGGGAACCCTGCAAACAAATTTATAGTGAAATACACATTCATATTTGAAATTCACAAAATTAATGCAAAACACGCAATTTTGACCTTACATTTACCATATTTCATGTGTTATGTATGTGTTGATCAATGTTTATGTGAATAAAACCCTAAATTGAAATATGTTAAGAAGAAACAAACTCAGATGGCTGGAGGTTGAGAAAACTTTCAGCAAAATTTCATTTTTGGGTGATCTATTTCTTTAGTGTTAATAACCTTGCTGCCTAGTCTTTATTATGCCTCCTCATTACCCATATTTAAATGTCAATTAAATCTTCATATTGTACTATTGTGTAACTTGGAAAAAGCACTAAATAAGTAAAAACAAATACTTCAAAATGTGCACAAATGTTTAGTAGTCACAATATCAGACACCCTCAATAAATTCTGATCACAAGACACATACATGTTTATCTATTTATCAGAAAGCAACAAACGGTTTTACATTATCACATACATAACGTGTCCCAAAAACAATATAATATTTCCATTCTCCTACATACCTCCAGAGTATCAGACTGCAGTAACTTGTGCACGAGTTCCAAACTGAACTTCAAGAAATCTGTCTTTTGTGCACCTGGAATCAAACAATTAAAAATACATACAAACAAATAAAACATCATTCATTTCTTTTTTAATGTGATGCCTTCACTCAAGTCCATTACAGCATATCAGACGCCAACGTAAACAATGAAGGACAGATTCAGTGAATAACTCATACTTTGGTCTGTATCACACTCAAAGCTATTGTATTCCTTTAAAAGATTTCTGATATGATGTACAGTATAATGTGTGACTGATGAAGTGCTGTCACAACACTCGACTAACCTGCAGGAAGGTCCTGGGCAATTTTATGGACTGTGGCTGCAGCAAGTTCCAGATTCTGGATGCACAGCGCGTGTTCAAAGATACTCCGAGTCACACGAGACAACTCTTTACTGGGAGCAACCATCTGGATTTTCTTTGCCTGATCCGTTAGCAAAGGCAAGAGACTCTTCTTGAACACATGGTTCACAGCTAAAACATACAGCTTATCAGGATTAACCTGGGTAAAACAAAGCAAAGAAAAAAGACTAAACATCTTACCTCTATTTTGTTTAGTCCCTAGCATGAGTTTATTATATTCACATAACACAGGTCTTGTGAATTTGTCTGGTAAATGATTTTAAACCCCACTACCTAATAATATCCTAAGAGCTGCCTAAATAAGTCAGATATTTACGGCCACACTGGAAACAGAAATACTGCAGGAGTGTGTCAAATGGCCTTTTTCACACTTACACTACACTGTCTGTCGTCACACAGCAGCACTTGCAGACAGGTCTAGATCTGCATCAGATTTCGGGCTTTTGCTGGCGATCTCCATTAACTAAAGCCGTGCAGTGTGTGGGCAACATAATCTATGTTTACACTGATTTGTGCTTCCAGAAAACTGCCAGAGCACCTTCAGTGTGAACACAAACCGGAGGCACAATGCTGTGAGACTGTATGCTGGTCAGTGGCGCCTCCAGGACACTTTATTTTGGGGTGGCCAGAGAGCTGCTGTAAAACTCCTCGGGTGGCACACTGAAAATGTGTTTCGGTTTTAAACTGCATTTGACACTGCTTGGTTACCAACATTGTTTAAAGTGTCTTATTTTGTGTTTAACAATAAATAAACTCATACATGTATATATAACTTTAGGGTAAATTATGATTAAATTATGACAATTTTCATTTTCGGGTGGACAATCCCTTTAACCCTCATGTTGTGCTCATTTTGACCCCGGGAAGATTGTATTTTTCCTCCAAAACCAGTGAATGTTATTATATTTGTTTGACTTTTTGGGGGCGTATTTTCCCACCTTGTTACACTTTGGTGTTCCTCAAAAATGACCGACTACAAAAAAGTGTGGGGTAGAGTTTAAGAGATAAACAAATGCCCCTTGCTGTTGAAATCTGAGGCTACACTTTAGACATTCTGCTAACTCTAAGTAACTCTGCATCTACACATCAGCTAACTCTCATTAGAGTATTAGTAGTGTTAGCTTAGGGTTAGTAGAATAAGTTTACATATGTTTGCAAAGTGACATAGTCAGCAGAATGTGTTCAAAATAAAGTGTCAGTACATATTAAGCAGACAGTCTAATACTCTGATGACTGCTAGTTGACATGTAGTTGCAAAGTTACTGAGAGTCAGTAGAATGTCTAAAATGGATCAAAATAAAGTGTTACCAATTTTGATATTTGATCTGATAATGTCTAAAACTTAAAATATTATCCAATATTAAATGTACTGTAAATAATTAACATGGTCTTGACAGATGGATGGGGGGCAATAAGAATAATACCTCTATCTTAACAATAATATACAGCACACAATGCAATTGTTTACAAGAGATTTCTTGGCAAATACATGAGAGTATTTTGCCCCCTTCGTCTCTACGGACTGACAGGGATGTGTTACTCATACTTGTGGCCTAATGGTTAGAGAGTCTTGTAACCCAAAGGTCGAGGGTTCGAGTCACAGGTCCGGCAGGGATTGTAGGTGGAGGGAGTGAATGAATCTTCCTCAATAACACGACTGAGGAGAGACCCTGGCAACATTTACAACATGGCAAGTAGTTTGAAAGATTGTGTGCACTTCAGTGATCTTTAGTTAGATGCATTTACATTGCGACTATGCCTCAGGGTACTTGCAATCAACTGTATTTTTATTTACAGAAGTGTGGCCCAAATGGCCCCTTGGCTCAGCATCAGGTCAGTGTATCGCTGGCTCTCTGTGGGGTGTTATTGTATTGTTTGTGGCACATTTGTTTGTTATAAACGTCTGGTCTCACAGACAGCAGCTTGGGTTAAGATTGTTTGAAGGAAGACACGCTAACATCACTGCTACACTACAACCTTCAATAAATTATTCTCTCCACAAGAACTCTGGTCAAGCTCACTTATTTTATGTATTAGAGAAAACTAGTACAATGGCGAGCCACCCAAACCACTGCTCAGCCAAATACTGCAAAATCCAACAAGTTCTAATAACTAACTAAACAATAATAATAGCAATAATAACTCATTGGCATGCAAAAAAAAAAAATAAATAAAAAAAAAATAAAAAGCTCCTTTATGTACGTTACCTTCATTAATTTACAGATGAGGAGCAGCGTGGGTAAAGTGTCCTCACTAAGTTCTGGAGCTGTGGGAGGAGGACACATCACATTAAAACAGAAAATAAGGGAGTCATTTAGGACAAATCAGGAAGAGTATGATGAAATACACTGCAAAACCAGGCACTGATACACACAGACAGTTTTCCAGAAGGCGTGGTTGTTCTGGAAGAGCAGATGAAAGGGCAGGCGGGTGTGAGCTAGAGCCGTGGGTTCAAGACCGTTCTCCAAAAGATATGAGCTCTCCAGGTCTGTGGGGGCCGAGATCCTTCTGTGCGACTTCAAATGCTGGAGTAATCCCACCATCTACACAACACAGTATAAAGATTTTACAATGAAGCTTAATCAAAACGTTACACACAAAGCCTCAGCGAGCACTAGGCAATCGTTTGGGGATATGCTTTTCATCCTGGCATCTGACTGACCTGACCAAGGGGTAGCAGGGTTGTGGTCTCATCAGCCATCTGAATAGTTCTGAGCACTCTCTCGATCCACTCATAGTTATATGGATTTAGCTGTACAGATTACATTAATATTAGCACAAACTGTATGACATTACAATAAACCACTATATAAGATAAATTACACTTGAGTAATCATTTCAATGTCCTGTATACCATAAAACGTTCCAAAAAATCTTATGAAATATTCCCATATTACAACCAGAGTAAAAATGACACGGACTAGGCTTAAAGAGAATCAGAGATGAAGTATGCAAGACGAGACCTTGGTCAAGGCTGTGTTGAGACTGATTACAAGGTCTTTGGTAGAGCCAAGCTGAGGAACGATCTGAAGGGCACTTTCGAGCATGTCATCTCTTCCTAGCGGAGACTCTTCACACTGCAGGCTAGCTTTGGCATCGCCTTCTGCAATCTCCATTTCATACCACCTATCCTCCTGCAGCAGTACAGTGGTGATGTACAAATTGATGGCAGAACCGCTGTCCAATCCAAACGTGCTGCAGACCCAAACAAAGAGCCTTGAGTATTACACCGAAGATGCACAGGTAATTCAGACTGTGGAGGAACGATCATCTCTTCCTCTTTACTAGTTACAGCACCAAACAAACATAAATGAACATCAGAAAGTTTCTTGCTTCAACCGCAGAGAGACGTCAATACGGACCATTTTTCAAGTTCAAGTCCACCAATGTTAATTTACTCTCCGGTCTGGTCTGTTTGTCTGACAGAAATGGCAGATTCGGCACGATTGACTCTTTAGCTCTGCCACGACACGCCTCCAGGAGCTCGACTGTTTTCAGAGAAGCGCAAAGCTGTATCTGTCTTTTATAAATCTGATCAAACTAAAGACTCTTGGGAGATATGAAGGATGCAATAATACTCTATAGGTACTCATGGTTAACATGAGACTGGCAGAAACTGTTGTGTTATGTCTGTTTAAAATGTTATTGTACTATTTAAAGTGGGTAAAATCTCACCTCAGCACGTCTGTCTCACACGACAGTGAAAGAATTACAACATGGCTGCGTTTCTCAATATCAATTACCATTTCATTATAAACAGACTTTATTCTTATATTTCCACGTTCATGTGTTTACTGTCTTCATGTTTGGTCAGTTACAGGGTTTCTATCTTCTTTTACAGCGACAGCTGGATGGCTTTGTCCATATTAGGGATTTCCTGGAGCGTTCTCATACATCTGTGAGTTTCTGCCCTCCGGCTTCCAGTATGAATGAAACAGACGTTACATGAGTGTGCTCACTAATGCTCACACAACCCTATTTAGGGTAAAAAGTGGAAAAATAATACTTCTCTCTAAAGAAGTCTGAAGTAAAGTGCAATTCCATAAGTTTTTCTCCAGTGTTTGCCCCCTCAAGTTGTTTTCATTAATGTAAAAATATACCTCATTGTCATGTTCCAACCTTGTTATATTTATCTTTCAATAAAAATCTAAAATTTTATGCCCTTCAAGTAGTGGCAGTTTTTCCTCCTGGTATTTTGATCATATTAAAGCTATGATTTCCAGTAAATTCCCTGGGGAAGTGCCACCACACATACAGTTTAAGTCTGTGGGAAACACTGGAAGGTCAGCAATCCAGCGCGTATGTGTGTTTGCACTCTGGAAAACATCAAAAGTTTCTATTTACAACGTGCTTTTGCAGCGTTGAGCAATGTAGCCAATCACAGGCATTTCTGTTGATTTCTTGAATGCAACGGCCAATCAGAGGTGTTTAAGTTGGATAGAATTCACTCACCGCTGAAAACGCCGGAGTTTTTGTTAAGTGCAGTTTTGGACGCTCGTGAATCATCTCATAAAGTGCAGATGCGGTGAGAATAAGAGATTCATCGTGCGGTTTCGAGAGCTTCATTGATTATAACGGAACATTGTGAGATTGCGATAAATTGAAGTGAGTGATGGCTTTTTAGTGATTATAAAGGGAGCGCACTGTGTGCTTTCTAGGCTATAATCACTGAGGATTTGTTTGAAACTTTAGTTTTCAGGCATACACGCTGCAACTACAATTTCATGAACTCTCATCACAGATCAGTGGGTGCGGTGAACTTCCAGATCCAGCCAGCTTTACTACAGCTTGAGTAGGGATATGCCGGTATCAATTTTTCATGTTGTGATTAATTGCTCATGCTTTTATCACGGTATGCGGTATTATCACGATATTGAAATTTTGTTAAAAAAAAGTGCTGTCATAATACAGTATAATAGGTTTAATAACTTTTTTCTTATAACAAAAATAACTGAACATTTTAATGCAATAAAGCAATACAGAAAAATGTATAAAGTTAAAAGTTTTACACAGATTAAAGTGCAAAAGAACTATAAAGACCAATAGGTATCACTTTACAATAAGACCTCATTAGTTAACCTTAGTTAATGCATTAACATTCACAATTTACCGTGATATATCGCATTACCGAATACCGGCACAAGTCTAAGCTTGAGTTAAGTGTCAAAGGATCTGCAATTCACCACCGCACACAACAAAATTAACAAATGTATTATACATTGTTTTGTAATGCACAAATAAACAACACTATTTGCATTTGTACACTGCATCGAAAATATTAAATATTGTGTTTAAAAAAATGCTCTATTTATTCATAACCCTTTACACTTATTACTTGCACAGGCACATTACAGAACAAAAACGGACTCTATCAGAAACCTTTCCAAATGTGTTTTACCACCCATTATAAATGAAGTCAAATAGTGAACAGCTGACTTGCCTGCAGTAATGCAGTATGATGTCAGGAGTGATGTTCCTGTTTTTCACAAGTGTAGGAATCAAGTTTCTCTTCGTCTCTGCGCACTGCCTAAACACTGACTGGATGGAGACCTAAATGGAAAAAAATTGTCAAAGGACACAACATTCTGTCCATATTGTGTGGTTTTAAAATAGATTATTAAATGACGACACAAACTAAAAAACAAACTCTGCAGAAGTGCAGCACTGACCCCGAGTTTGCCCAGCTGAACGCCCCACTCTGCATCAGTGATAACAGACAGAAACTTCCCCCTCTCCTCTTCATCCTTATACAAAAAACTTAGATGGGCTCCCACCATTGCAACAACCTACAGAAGAGAAATAGATGCATTATGATGCTTAAAATCAGAAAACGTGGGGGTGCTTGGCCATGCAAATGCTGCTGCCATAACCCTGAGCGGTTGAAAACAGAATATGCTCTTCTGCTGAAACACTCACTTTTAAGCGCGCTATTTGATCGGGAGGAGTTTGAAGATCAAAATCAGTCACCCTTGAGAACATCTTACATATATCATTATTTGCTATCATTGTCATTATTGCTTTACATTATTGTTAGTCAGTGCATATTTCCGCAGTACAGTGTTTTCAACAGTAATTTCCTAGAGTCATTCACTAATATTGGCACCACTGGTAAATATGGTCAAAACAGGCTGTGGAAAAATGCTGTTTATGCTCTTGGTATTTAATTCAAAATATTCACAAAAGCTGACCTTAATTATAGTAAAATAACCAAATATTTGTAAAATAAGCACTGCCGGTCAACAGTCTGGAGCTGGTAAGAATCTGTTTTTGAAAGAAGTCTGCACATCAAGTCTGTATTTATTTCATCAAAAATATAGCAAAAACTGTAATATTGTGAAAAATTATTAGTTTAAAATAACTTTTCTATTAATACTAACACAATAAAATGTGATTTAATCTTGTATTGGCAAAGCTAATTTTTTCAGTCTTCACATGATTTTATTAGTCCCAAATCTTTGAACATTACTGTATGTGCTCCAATTTTTGGCACCCTCCATTTAATACTTTGCACAAACTACCTTTGTCAAGAAAACAGCTTTGAGTATTTTCCTACAATGCTTAGTTCGAGAACACAGGTATACGCAACACATGCAAGGCTCCCGAGTGTCCACTCTCATCGAGTACTCCTGACCAAAGAGGATAAACGGCAAGACATTTTGCTCATTTTTACCAAGGATATCGTGTTAGCATGAGTAGCCTTAAACAATGTTCAAAAATCTACTTTAATGCAGCTCTAGGTGATGCCAGCTAAAAAGGAAAGTTTAACTATATGTGCAATAGGTGTTTAACTACATATATTTAGTAAGTCATTATTACTAATGACTAATTACTATTCTGATGAAAGGAATTAAATAAATTAAATAAAAAGAAGAATCCTGCACATTTAGGCCTAGAAAATACAAGAAAGTCAAATAATTAAGTAAAGAAAGAAAAGAAAGTAAGGTAAACTGGATTCATTTTGATTTTATGATGACTTTAATACTTAGTGTTAAAGGTTTTACAAACAGTAGGAAGCACAACTAATAAATGACAAACCAAACTTCAGCCTGACCTTAATCTTTTCATAATTTTGCCAGGCACTGGCGATCATCTTCCAGAGAATATCCACAACCGCTGCCTTGGGCAAAATGGTACAAAGCCCGATGGCCAGATCAGAGTCGACCACTCTCCAGTTGAGCACCTGTAATACAGGGTTAATGAACAGACTGATCTAAATCATTCCTTGGAAAGAAGCCAAGATAAATGCACATCTTAAGTGTCTTTGCACACCTTCTGTAACAAGGAGACCACAACCACAGTGACAGACGAGAGAACCGTTTTCTCTATCCTGTCAAGAGTCTGTTTGTCTCTGGCCAAGCGGTTGCTAGAATGAAGCTGAAAATGAGACAAATACACCATCAACAAAAGCACTTATTTACATTAGATATAACTTAACTACTTCACAGGATTCTCACCTGCATGCTTAGAGAGATATCCATGTTGTTAGAAACAAAGTGCATTAAAATGCTGCCGTAGGACTCCATCAGAAGTCGCAGAGCCAGTTCTAGCTGACTGCACTCCTGCAGCATCTGCAGCATAGAGGCCAAGGGATTGAGCAAAGGCCCAACCAAATCAGTGCCTGTGAAAGTGGACAGATATCTCGTGAGCAAGGCCTCAGAAACTTCTTTTTGTCCCCAGAAATCAGTCAGAAATCACACAGACTGTCTCCTTAACATCTGCTGACACTTTATTCTGATGCTCCCCCAACAGATGTTCTACTGACTATAAGTCACTTTGCAAGCACATGACAACTTATTCTACTAACCCTAACCTAACAGTCTACTAATACTCTAATGAGAGTTAGTTGATGTGTAGATGCAAAGTTACTTAGTTAGTAGAATGTCTAAAGTGGACTATTGAAATCTCACACTACACTTTTAAACCCTAAACATGTACAAAGCTTAAACAACTAGCAGCGCATTGTGTAACACAAGCCCCTTTCCCACTGGCCCCCTAAAGCTGCTAGTCTTGAACAGAGAACCACAGAAGCTAGAATCAGTCTCACACTCTGAACAGCTTAATGCAGAATTGACAAATTATGCCAAGCACTGTATTAGGGTTGAGTGATATGTAAAAATATTTTTTGGATAATCATCTACCCACCCCAGCAATTTTCAACTATCTTTAATTGGTTACAATGTCAGAAGTACATACTGTATAGATAAACAATATAAACTCTTTCTCCATGTTACCTGCACCTGTTTATATGTCAGTAAAAAGGTTTTTGACAGTCTTTTGCTTACAAATACACAGCAAACTCTTACCTTAGGGTTAAGCATAGAGTGAGAAGTACTCTATGAACAGTCTCACTGTATACTACTCAAGGCAATAGGAAGACACTCTTACCTACTTTGAGATCACAGTATGACAGGCAGGAACAACCAAAAGGATAAAGCCTCGATTCTGGAATAAAGGACAAAGTTTCGTGTTTACAAACACGATAAGCAACACATGGCCAACTATTTACTATAATAACAGAATTTTCATCTTTGAGTGAACTATCCCTCGAAGCACATTATATAGAGTAAAATGTGCTTGTATTTGGTAAATGAAGAGGTGTCAATTGCAAGTTCAGTATGGTGTGCTGCAAGGCTTAGTACTAGGACCTTAGCTTTTCATGCTGTATAAGCTACCTTTGGGAGACATTATCATGACTTTTGAAGTTAGCTTTCAGGGTTATGCTAACGATATTCACCTTTACATTTCCTTGAGGCCTGGTGAAACCTATCAATTTTCTAAACTAATGGACTGCATTTGAAATCCACATTACTAACACTTAACTAACACCACAAAACAGTATTCTTCCATCTTACAAACATTTCTAAGTTACGACATATGCTCTCTAAATAAAGACAGTTAACATTAATATTATGAAATATTACATGATTTTTCTATTTAAATATATTAAATACAAATTTAAATAATATTTGTTCCCTCGTGTTAGTTAATTCACTGGAACTAATAATTACAAGATGCTCATGAATTAAAAATAATAATTGGTGAGCGATTTCTCAAAGCATGGAGTGCTGTGACGTCAAAACCCAGAAGACTCGCCATGGGTTCCCTTGAGATTTTCCTATAGGGTTTTATAATGGGGTTTTTAAATTCATTAGCAAAATAAGGTCTGTGGTAAAAATAACTTGATACTTGGATGTTTTGTTATACAACTTAAACTGCACACATTCATACCCCAAATGTTCTTATGTTCCAGTAGTTACTTATGACAAACATACATAAAAAAAAAAAAAAAAACATTAAAATTTGTGTTTTCAGTGTAAGCGTGTGTAACTGGCATGACACTGTAGAGCCAAATGTGCAAGTATCATATTTAAATTTACCACAGACTTTTTTTACTAATAAATTGAAAAACCACGACAAAAACTCTCTCTCTTTTATTCTGCAAGTCATGTGCAGGGCTCTGCAGTTTGTGTTAAAAATGACAGACAATGAATAAAGTATGTGCGTGACTTGTTTCAAACATTTAACACCAACCTTTGCATATGAAATAAGTGTTCCACGTGTGGAACTGTTAAAACATGGCTATGATTACAGCTAATTGGCTTACAGTATTATGTTTACATCTATTCCATCAAAGGTTCTTTTTAACAACATTATTTTCCCCCAGCATTGAGCACTGTAGCTAGTGTTGAACGCGTGAATGGCCAGAGTTTTGTTCAGCACAAGCTCACAGACCGAGTTGTGTGTTGTGGCATTTGGTCGGGTCCATTTTTCAGTGAAAGTGTTTGTAAACCAAAACCTACAAACTACTGACACAATCAGGCACCGTGTTGAAAATAAATTCAAATTTTAAAATGCTTCAGAAGGTATACAGAGACAATGTTCTTGCGCAACTAAGGATTGCACAACATTTGAAAAACTTAGTAGGCATCTAAATGTATTTTATCCCAAGTGATGCTGTTTTCCGATCTCTGCCATCTTTCCTCATCACCTCACTAACAGATGTGAAGCAGCAGTAGGTGTTCATCTCTTCAGGTACTCTTCTGTGATGATTATGATTATTATGACCAAGACAAAGTTGGTCATTCTGGCAGCTGGTTTCAATAAACGCTGTTTTTGGGCTAAGGAGGAAGTACTGAATTCTGAAACGTATAGTATATTTTTTTTATAGTACAATGACCTCAAATAGGTCATAAGATCAGGGAAAATTGGATTTTTCAATTCATGACCCCTTAAGCATCTTTCCTGATTACTTATAAAACTCTAATAAATGGTTTGGTCAAATTACAGTCATTATATTACAATCGCTGTGGTCTCAAACTTCTGCCCATGTCTGTTTTGGCCCAAGCCAGTCTCCAATCAGAAGGAGCTGGTTTAAATTTTGAATACCATCTACACAATCACGGACCTGTGCTGGAGCTTGGGATCATGAATCCAGCTGTGTTCGTACTGTTAGAACAGAGGACTGGCTCCGTCAGCTGAGCTAAGGGCTTCTTACTCCCTGCAGTTACTGCTCCTTGCTACTGTCACCCTTTGGCTTACTCAGTGGAGACTTAAGACGCCAATTCATACTCCGTATACCTGTATTGATTTAACTACATTGGAAATGATCTAATGAGTTCACTGAATAATTGAATTAAACTGAGCTTAACAATGACTCTATATTGCGTTCTGTAGAGCTGCTTTAAAGTTGAAAAGGAAGTTACAATTGTAACTCAAATGATTGATTCCTGAAAATCAATAATGTCCATATTAAAGCTTGTTTGTCAAAGCATTAGTTTGCACACACTCCAGCAATAAGAGTATACTCTCACCTGCCAGTGGCAACAGATTTCTGGTGATTTTATACTGCAGTGGAAGCACTGAGACTGGATCCAGCACAATGCAGTCCTCATTAAAGACATCCTGGAAATGAGATTCAGTGTATGCATCCTCTTCACCACTCAATGCAGATTCCTGAAAATAAATCATTGTTTAACAAACAATATGAGGGTTAAATTATTGATCGATGGTTTGTTCAGGGAAAGATTTTTTCAATACATTTATAACAAAAAGCAACTAAACACGAACTTAAATGTCTCCTTGCAGTTTTCCACCAAAACAAAGCTTGAGTTTAACACTTGTAGGTAAAGAAGTTAAGACATAAGTACTGTAATTTTATTACAGTAAAATTATTAGTATAATTAAATATTCATTACAGCACAGCTGTATTTCAATAGTAATATAAAGTTTAAAGTTTGTTCCAAAGTTTAGACTGTCATTGATTGACAGTAGATCCTTCAGTGTCATTATTTATTGTTACTCTTTTGTTTCCCACTTGTCCCTGCTTTGTTTTTGTATGTATTGTTTATTCTGCTTGGATTATGTATTTATGTATTATGTAAAGTGACCCTGAGTTCCACACGGTGTGCGCTCACCGTGTGTGTGTGTGTGTGTGAGTGAAAGTGAGAGTGAGAGAGTGTGTGTATGCGTGTATATATATGTGTGCATGTGTGTGAGAGAGAGACAGAGAGAGAGAGAGAGAGAGAGAGAGAGAGGGGGACCAGATGCTCAGTCTAGGAAATGACAGCCATTAACTAATCAGCTACAGTTTATGTAATTGTTGAACATCTTTCAAAGCAAATTGTGTACATGGGTTATCAACTAAATAAAAGCAAACATTCTCTCGCTCTCTGTCTCCCTCTCATTTCATGCTCATTATATCATCATCTGGCAGCCGTTTGCCTGCCACCCTTTAGAGCGAGACAGAACTGAGTGAGTGTGAGAGAGTGAGCGTGTGTGTGAGAGAGAGTGTGAGCGAGCGAGCAAGTGAGTGAGTGTGAGAGAGAGTGAGCGAGTGTGTGAGAGAGTGAGCGAGTGTCTGTTCACACCATGTGTGTGTGTGAGAGTGAGTGTGTGTGTGTGTGTGTGTGAGAGACAGAGTGAGTGTGTGTGTGTGTGTGTGTGAGAGAGTGAGAGTGTGTGTGAGAGAGAGTGAGTGAGTGAGTGTGTGTGTGTGAGAGAGAGAGTGTGTGTGTGTGTGTGTGAGAGAGAGTGAGTGAGTGTGTGTGTGCACTTGGATGGTTGAAACGCAGAGCACAGATTCAGAGTATGGGATACCACACTTGGCTACACGTCACTTTCATTTTTAATTTAGTGATTTTAGCTTTAAAAATCATTTTGTTTAGTTTTTAGACTGTAATGATGTTATGTAAGAATGTAATGTGATTTTAACCACTTTTTTTGCACATAGGGTAATATATACCATAGCCTGCGTGGTTACATCAGGTTATCAGCAGGATTTTTAAGCTCAACTTTAAGACTTTAAGACCTTTTTTAAAAACCTGCACAAATAAAATTAATACCATATAAGCAGGGTAGGGCAATGTCTATGGTAACATATTAAACTGTAAAATGACAGTAAAAAGCATGATTTACAGTTCAGATACAGGTTTGCACAAAAAACTAAAATGATATAAAAATAATAAACTTCACATTTCAGCCTTTAAACCTTTTTAAGAAAATGGATGTCAAAATTATCAAGCATTATATTAAAGCAATTATTATAAATCAATTATGTTAATTAAATAACATATACATATATTTTACAGTCTTAATTGTTTAGATTTTTATAATGCATTATCTTGATCCATAGGTTCACATTTACAACTGAGTGTTTGCTGCGTAAAAACATGGGTTGATTTTCACTTCGGTCTGAACAAAAACTGCAGACGGGCTTATTGAAAATGCACATTCATTCTCTGCCAGCAGGAGGCGCTGTCTGAACAGCAGAAATATCACGGTTTCACCGTAACAGCTGTAAACAAAACAGCGCAGCCGCTGACTCTGAAATGTGCAGCTCATATTTATTCAATGAAATCATAGCTTTTTGAAGTTTAATCGTCACATTAAGCTATACTGCTATCCTTGTCTTTCCGTCCCCAAAATTAAGGCCTCCTGAAATCATAATTAAGACTTCCTTGTACCTTTTAAGACTTTTTATGGTCTTAAATTTGATTCAACTAAATTTAAGACTTTTTAAGGACCCCCGGAAACCCTGTACATTCACTATATTTGTTTTCATAGTCTTCAATATGCACATTGTTTGTAGGACAACACTGGGCACGATGTGAAATACAGAAAATATATATATATATATTTTTTTTAATAAATCCAAACAGAAAATCGTAGAAAATACTGAGATATATCACCATTCAGCCTAAGGATACAGAGATATGATTTTTTTTGCCCATATCGCCCAGCGCCAGCCTTGGTTGAATGTCATTGGGCTGTTGATTGCATATGCAATGTTTAGCAAGCTGACCTTAGTAAAAAATCCAAAATCTTCAATCTGACATTGTCTGTAGACATCTGTAGCACTTCTGGTGCTTTTACACAGCTCCAAACAGTCCAGCAGAAGGTCTGTGAAAGGAAAAATACATGCACTTTTTGAAGTTGGTGTAAAGGACACGAGTGATCTGTAACTGCGGAAGCTGACTGAAGAAAGCTGTGACATGCACTTAATGAGAATATGAAGAGTGGAAGTGTTTCAGTACCACTGTGGCAGACTGTAATGGCCTGACAGGCCAGCCCATGGATGACAGCAGGCAGGTTAACCTGTTCAGGCAGAACCATGGGGATGTTTTCCTCCAGCATCTGACAGAGGCGCTGGGCCGTGCTGAACAGAACCTGTCCTGTGCTGCAGGTCGAGTGGTGCTGGTACAGCTCCCTGTTGAGGAGGAATTAAAGACACCAGAGAACACATTCAAACGTAAAAGGACAGTTCACACAAGCATGAAAGTGCTGTCATTTACTCAACCACATTCTTACAAAATCACCAAACGTTACATCTTCAGAGCGCAAAAGAAGATTTTCATTTTCTTTCACCAATTTTTGTCCATTTGCTCAAATATGCTTGCTTTTCAAGCAACAACCAACAAGGTCAAACAAGCACAGCTGAATTTCCGTTTACTGTATTTAACGCACTCCATGTACTATATATAGTGTATATAATATATATGTGTATATAAGCAGTCGTGTCTCTTTAAAAAAACTCCGGATAATGCACTCTATTTATATAGTTTACTTTTACAATGTTGTTATGGCAGGGCTCGACGCTAAGGATGTTTCTGCTGGTCCGGTCGAGCCAGTGCTGCAGATTTATACTTGCACTGCCACAAAAAAATTAAATACAATAGTTGCCGTTATCATTGTTTTTGACCCATGGTATCTTTTATTATAATAAATAAGCTTATATGACACCAAAATTTTAGATATCAATTTAATTTTAAAATGATCAATTCTTATTTCATACTACAGCAAAAACTAATAATGTTTGAACTTTATATTTGTTAGTAAAGACAAGTGAACAGTCAGTAAATAAGAGCAAATTATAAGCAGTAGCACAACTGAATATATAGAGCAAAGACACAAATGAAATGATGCTTCAGGAGAGACAGCAGCAGACGGCGTTTCCGTGGCTATAAACAAAGCAGCGCTGCGCTAATAAACACTGCTGTATTCTTCATTATACAGAGCCCAGATGCAGAGAAACACCATCTAATCTGTTCTGAAGACAGTCAGTTCCCCTCAGAAACCCTGATTCCGTGTTTAGGATTTTCTCCCAGTATCTCGCTCATCGTGAGCAGTGATCTTGCTCTGTCTGTACAGTGCTTTCTCCTCTCTGCGCTCGTCTTCAGTGTCTCTGCTCTCTGTGAACACCGTTTGCACACTTCATAGTATTTCCACACAAACGTCATTACATTCTGTTCACACAGAGCTCAGCGCGAAACTGAATGGAGCTGTCTTTCACGTCTTGCTTGAATGCTTTAAAAGCGCTTGAATTTTGAAATAAGCAAAGCTTAAAAACACGTGATAAAGGCTGGTGAGCAGTGGTCACTGATCTCTTTCACGCTGGACCCGAGCCATCGCTCAGTCCTTATCCTCGAGTCCTGCAGAGGATGTGTGTGATCCGTTGAAATGCAGTGTTTGTATTGGTGGCAAATTAAATCATGTGGTCACTACTGAAATAAATCATGTACAGTAAATCCATGTTTTTGGAAACTAGACCAACTTCCACCGTTTCTAACATTTTATTTTATGGCATAATGCACAGATGTTTAATGTGTAATCTAAAATATGGGGAAGTACTGTACAGTAAAGAGCAAGCACACTTGAAATATTTCACTGTAACATGACTCAAATAGCTGGATTTTTATGTCTTTAAGTTTTATGGATATATCAATTTTAGCGGTAACTTATTTCATATTTTTGACACCATCTACAAATGAAAGTAAATGATGCAAACTCTCCCTCTGATGGTGGTTAGTTTCACATGTTTACTGTCATGGCTTTCCCTGACCCTTCATGTGCTGTTATTAGGCTTTGACTGCCTGCTGTATATCTATATATTGTTCAGATGCAATCAAAATTATTCAACCCCTTTGACCTGCAAGACCTTTCGCTGCCGAGAGCAAAACTTTATGAAAACAGTTCAACAAAGGCATCAGTAAACTAATATAGAAAGTTTATTAATACACATTTGAGTAATTCTGAGAATGTAAAGTTGATGAAAAAAAATCTAATTGGCTCTAAACACTCATGTACAGAAGTATTTGACCCCCAAAAGCCGAATCTTTTATTCTGTATATCCTCCAGTAAGTGCTTCGAAGCTTCTGTGGGTTTTCTGCTGCAAGACACTTTAATCTTTACCTTTAGCCATAGACTGTCTAATTTAATAAAATAGTTTATTCCCTATAGTTTTTGTGAGCGCTCTTTTGACTTGGCCATATTTGCAACCAGCTAAAGCACAATCATGGGCTAAATTTGTTTATGTAACCGCTCAAGTAGTGCTGGGTGGTATACCGGTTCATACCGAATACCGGTTTTTATTTTTGTTATGATATGAATTTTGAAAATACCGGGCAGGTTTATTTGTCAACTAGATGAGGAGAGGAGAAATGCAGAGACAAACAGAGAAGCCTATTCTTGACATGCAATTTGAATGATTAAAATGAGTAACGTCTTGCCTATTCTGCGAGGGGTGTGCAAACATAAAAGAACTGCATCTCTCGGTCTTCAGGTTTGCCCTCACCTGAGGATCTGTAAGGCTTTCTCCACGTCTCCAGCATCCAGAGCTCTCAGCGCCAGGTCTGCCCACAGCTCCTGCTCCGTCTTCTGCAGCTGTCTGGCCAGCCGGTGGAGCCCCGCTTCAGTGGACAGGCTCTTCGTCTTCCCATCTGGATCACTGTCCTTCAGATGACCGCTGGAAACCTCGTCAGGGTGCCGTCTTCCTGAGCGCCGCCATGCTTGTGCGTTCTCATATGCAGTGATGAGCTGCTGGTTGAACTTGTGTCTCACTGCTGGATCATCATATTCCTCTGGGGTCAAGAAGATGTCAAAGTCTTCCTGGAGTCAGGAACATTGCAAGACAAACACCCATTGGTTGCTGAACGTTTAGATGTGTTTACAATGTGGCAGTGAATGCCTCAAAATCCATGTATGAATAAACTGAGACCTGAAGATGAGCAATGGCTGTGAACATCTTCAGATTGTTCTCACATTCAGTTTTCTTGAAGGCATCATCTGCAAGAGGAAAAGACAGGACACTTTAACTGTTGAGGATAATCAGTTTAGCTAATCAAAAAATCATGTTTCATGGGCTTCAGGTTATTCTCACACCTGAGGAAAGTCTTCCATTGCATAAGCTACACGGAGTCCTGTTCCCTACTGAGGGAACCAGGCTACATATGTAACCAAGACTTTCTGACACTATGCTAAGCTAACATGCTAGCTAGCCCATATGCACCTGTTGCTAGAAGTGATTATGTTTTGATTAACTTTAAATTAATCCATGAAAGACCATTGGATTTTATTTTTATTTTTTTGGATACAATGGCAAATAAGTTGAAGTGAGAAGTTTGATCGAAGAAATTAAGGACCAAAACAGTATAAAGAGAAATCCATCAGTAAATGAAAAGAGTCATGATTAGCGAGGCTTGTGTGTGTGCAGCGGGACAGAACATGAACAGTCAGCAGAACCAGACTGAATGGATGCTTGGAAGATGCGAGTAAAAGTATATTAGCATTAGAGTCTCCTCTAAATGAGAATCAATACTGTGTGTGCTCACCTGTCTGAATGCTCTGCAGGTACTTTAAAGCTTCAACCATAATCTGCGATATTAGCATTTGTATTTTCTTCTGCTATTGAAAGAAAAAGTGCAAAAATTAATAGGGAAAAAAAAAATTCATACAGACAACAAATCCTACTTTAGTATGCAGATTTTTATTTTTGCATTGCAACATTATACCAGTTAAAATCAAAATGAGAATTTTAATGTAGAGAATATAATAATTTATATGATTTGAAAGTCTTTGTGAGGTTCACTGTCTTTCTCTGACCTCTTGAGAAACGTGCCGCTTGTCTTGAAGTTCAAGTCTTGCCCAGCAGGCCATGCGCTCGATCACAAGCTCTGCTTCAGGATGGAGCAGGTTCTTCAGCAGAGCGACGCACTTCTCCCTCTGCAAACACAACACAATCTCACAACACTCAACACTTCCAGCTCAAACTCAGAGTTATGCTTTTACACTACAGTTAAAATCACTTTGTTAGAGATATGCATGTACCCTGGAGAAACTCCATTAATAACCCCGAATCAGTTTTTCTGAGCTGGATAGTGTAAGTAGCTCAGGTCCTTGGCATCATTTCAGGAAGATGGCTTGTTCTATTCCACCTAATTACAACTTTATTTGACTCTATAATACAAGTTCTGTTCATATGTCTCCCTTATGGACTTATTATTAAATCATTAAAATGACTATTATAACAAATTGTAGCACTTGTTATTTTACTGAAGGCTCATGAAGTCTCAGTCTCCTGGGAGCGCTTGCATCGCGAGAACATCTGGAAAGTTGTGGAAACACTATCGTGGACATTTTTTTTTCTTATTGGAATGCTTATATTTTATTGGATTTTCCATTCACCACTATATAAATGAACCCATTTGTGATGACTTCAGCTTCTAAAAAGAGTTAGTGAGGGTCTATGATGTTTTTACAGCAGCCAGTTCTGTGGGAGCATCACCTTATTGTGCTGGATGAGATGGATGCAGTGAAGATGGTGGATCTCTGCTGGGTTTAGTTTGTAGGCCTCGATTAACTTCAGCGAGTCCTCGAGAGAGGTGGGCAGGTCCTGTTTTAGGATGTGCCTCACAAGCATCTGAGCAAAGCAAACCACAGTAAAATACTAGCCACTTGCAGGAACAGAGAGGACAACACAACGATCTGTGGTCTAACCCGTCATGGAATAGTCAACTGTTAAATATAAAACACATAACAGGACATCTAAAGCTGAAGACAAACTCACCATGACATCACGAGCGTTAGAAAGGGCTAAGCTGCGGATGCCGTAGCATCTGAGAAGCTTCTTTATTTCCATCAGTCTGTACCCCTCTCTCAGCAGCTCCTGCCTGTAGATGCGAAACACTCATGAATCACAAACTATACTCCATCACACGTTACACACTCTGTAACTTACTCACGAATAGTGCTAACTGAATGTGATGTGTGTTGCTAACAGGAACATGTTATCTGGAGCCTACAGATAATGACTATCACTCAATAAGAAGAGGAGAAGAGGCTGCTTGATGCTTTAGCGCTCCACTCACTTCGGATGCTGCTTCTCCAGGTGCTGCTGAACGAGCTTCTCCACCGTGTCACTCCAGGGCACCACCGCCTTGTACATGATCTCAATCACAGCATCCATCACCTTCTGAAACACGGCCAAACGCCAGCTTTAGCCAACAGAGCCTACTGTGCTCAGAAACAGGAGTTTACAGTAACCCTGACTAACCCTACTCCACTCCACTGCAGTGTCTAGCTCTCAGACCGCTGTCGGCGAGAGGGAAAAGTGTAGCAATGAGATGCACACAGTTCAAAGTTAAAATGAGTCATTTAAAGTAGTAATGATTTTAACATTAAATAGGTCTGAACTGCAAATTATACCTTTTAACCTTTAGCTTTCCTTTAATATGAGCTCTTAATTATACAACAAATGATTTTCAGAACCAATTTCAATACCATAGCAAAAAAAATTAAATGAAAATAAAAATGAATGAAATCAGTTCATTATTAATCCTAATAATATTTTAAAATATTGGCATGTATCCAAAAGGGTCAGGTGACAGCTGTGTGCATCACTTCTGATTGGCCACAGCACATCTCTGCTCGTGGAGAGAGTGATAACCCTGCAGTGAAGTGACTAGAGAGGACTGAACTCGGTGCTAACAGAGCTGCTGAGGGGCACGGATTACAGAATCGACTTTGTACAGAAGTACTACTAGCCTACTTTTGACAATAATCAAAATCATTAGTTAACAAGTTACTGAATTACTCTTAACAGCTGCTTTCAAGTTCACTACAAACATTACTAACCGGCTAATGTGTTGTGCTCTTTTACAGGCCAAACTCTCTGTAGCCATTTTAAATTAGAGGCAAACACTGCACTTTAATCACAATCCAAATAAAGATGCTGCATACAAGAGCAGTTTCTGATTTAAATGAGATTCAGTTAGATGAAGTTTCAAAACCTGAAGCAAAAACACAATGGTCTGACTTTATCGATGCACCGATAGCACTTTTTCCAGAACGAGGCTGATACTTGTATTTTTGGTACTTGCGATACTGAGTACCATTACCTGCATTTAATTTGTGATTTGTAAAAATACTGGGTACAGAAACCCAAAGAATATGAATAATGTTAGTTGGCTTAGTTGATTTAGCAAACAGATATTTCCTTCAGTTATTTTCACACTTAATTACGCCCATTAAAATGTACTGTACAAGCTTGTGTTACAGTCTCTGGTTACTTTATTGCTCTATCGCAGCGGTTCCTAAACTACGGGGCGCGAGAGAATAACGATCTGTGTGCAAACATGCAGGCCCATCCATCTCACTAAAAACAGGTTGCAAGTAATATTCTTTATTAATAACTGAAATGTTGATGTTTTCTAATATACAGTCAGGGCTTGACATTAACGCTCGTCAGATGCGGAGCTCCACATTAATGCTCGTCTGGGACAGGAGGATATTTTCAGGCGAGAATGATTCTGATTTTCATTCTGATAATAATAGTAAATAATAATGTATTGACAGTAACAGTCTCGTCTGAGTGTGAGAGAATCTCGTGGAGAAATCAAAACAAATGAACACAACTGCACACAGAAGAAACTTACTGTGGTAAATATGTAGTTTTTATGTTTATAACATATAGCCTAGTTCAGCAACACGACACGTTCTCCCTGAAAACCACAACTGCAAACTTGACATTGATTTCATACAAGACTACAAACGAGTAGTTAATATTAAGTGACTTACATTTTAGTACAATATTATCAATGTTGACTGTTTTTGCTCGATTTGGTTAAAATAGTTCAAACAGAGATCGCAGCAGAACAGTCGCGCATAGAGGAGTGACACAGCGGTGTTTCTTTACTGAACGATTCGTGTTTTTGAATGAATAATTTGAGTCAATGATTCAGTGAATGAATTCATTCTTGAATGAATCAGCCATCTGAATGAATCATTTGAATGAACGACTCAATGACTCACTCATTAAAACAGTCACTTGCTGCCACCTGCTGGCGGTTTACTTTCATGTTTAAAAGTAGCTTATCTTTGCATTTTTTCCAACATTTCATATTTGTATATTTAAAAAAAAAAAAACTGGTTTAAAACAGCAAGCTCATAACATGCTGTAATTGTACAGTTTAATGCATTCATGCTACATTTCAGCTTCATTAAACTGTATGTAAATGCATCTAAATGCCACTTCTGATTCTTCAGCAGTGGAAAGATCGGTTTTGTTAATACTGATTTCATTTGATTGGTAACAGCCCTATAGTGTCTTATTATATTAAGTGAAATTATTTAATAAAATGCAAGAATTTGATATGAAAGATGACGCATGCATTTAATAAGGTTAGGGAAAATGCCCTTTAAATAGGCAAAAAAATGACCTGGAAATCAATTTAAATAAATGTTAGTATGCAGTAACTTTAGTCATATTAAACGTAATTACCCAACAACAAAACTGTGGCCAGTGAAAATGCTAAGTGGCTAGTAATTTTGGAAAACCACTCGCCACAGTGGCTGGTGAGTTAATGTCTAGCCCTGTATACAGTGAATATCTGCATTATTGCAGTTAAGATGTTGTGTTTAACCGGAGTACGGTGGTGCGGTGCTGACAGACAGCTGTCAAACTCTCTATCATATCTCATCTTTAATTTAATAGCGCATTAGAGCTGCTCCATTGCAGCGGCTCAGTACTGTAATCACAAGACGTTTTCTTGTAACGATGCAGGGAATGGTATACTGTACATAAATCTTGTAACAGCGATGAACACATTTTCTGAATATAAGTAGAGTTTTTTTATCATCCGACACGTGCTGCGACTTATATTCCAAAGCACTCATATAATGCAATTAATATCAAGCTATCAGAACACATTTGTATTGGTGCAGAACGAGAGACGCGTACAGCATCACCACAGCACTTCACACAGGCTGCTACTTTCACTTTAGATAGTCGTGTATGCTTGACGTTTAGAATAAATGTTTATGGTGAATGCCCCTATAATTTGTTTGTTTTATATTTACGGTTTAGTTTTAATCCGAATGACGCATGTGTTAAGTGAGCGAACAGCGATCAAGATCGTGCAACAGAAGTGCGCGCTCTCTCTCCTTACCATCAAGTAACTTGTGTAACTTGTGCATTGTTTTATTTGCTTGCTTTTGGCATATCTGACCAAACTACAGGCTTTCCAGGGATGTCTGTGAGGAAGGGAAATCTCTGATTATCAGCTCGTGCACATCAGCTGTATCGGCGTGAATACTGAACGTTTAGCATTATATTATTGACATACATGTAGTTCATAGGCGTGCTTAATCTCTAATAACTCCATTCTACTCTCTGTTTGTCTGGACACAGCTCTGTATCTGGGCATTTTAATGAGTACGAGTACAGGAGAGCAGAATCAGGTCCAGTATGGTATCGGTGCATCCACAGAAATTATGCTACATAAAAACATCTGAACGAAACAAACCGTAGGAGCTCTGAATGAGACGCAGATTCACTCTGGTTTATGGCCATTCAAATGTTTTCTAACATGGTTTCGGGCCAGTGGTAAACCGTTCGTTCTTGGCTAAAGGAAAACTTTATATAAAAAAATGAAATAATAATTTTCCAGTACGACAAGATTTTCCAGGACATTTGACATTTTCCAGGATGCGTGGGAACCCTGCTGCTACGTACAGGATGTTTTGGTAACACTTTAGTTTAGGGACCAAATCTCACTATTAACTAGTTGCTTATTAGCATGCCTATTATTAACATATTGGCTGTTTATTAGTACTTATAAAGCATTTCTTCTACATGACCATATTCTGCATCCCTAATCATACCCTTTACCTAAACCTAACAACTACCTTACTCACTATTAATAAGCAGCAAATTAGGAGTTTGAGGTGAGAGTCGTAGTTAATGGTGTTAATAGCGAGACTTGGACCTTAAAATAAAGTGAGACCGAGGTTTATATAGTACACTGATCTGTTACATGTCTAAAGATCAAGCGAGATTTGACTCCTCAGTTCATGATCTCGTTAAAAGCACTGATACCTCTCCATCCCACGAGAAGCGTGTTTCAGTCAGGATCAGCGAGGAAGGCCAGACGGTTTTCTCAAAGAAGGGTTCGGGGCTTTAAATGGGTATTTTTGGTTTTGGCACAGTGAGTACAGATGCATCACTAGTTGTGAATGAATAAAGCTTCTATATAAACCCACTGTGATTGTGTGTATCAGTATACGGTGATCTCACATTCGTGTCTGTCATGCAGCGCAGCACAGCCACAGCTTTGGCCTCCCATTCAGTGAAGAGAGAAGTGATCTGAGAACTGCAGCAGTCTAGCAGCTCCTGAAAAATAAACGCATCAAAACAATCAATCAAACTTATCATAACAATTCATTCAAAAGAAGGCCTGGTCCCTAGAGATAGACTTGCACACTCCTGATGTACTGTATAATGTGTACAAACATATCAAGGACAGGCCAAATCCTTAGCATTGTGCTAGGAGTCTGAATGCACAAGTGTTTATCAGGTTTATATTAACCTGTAAAAGACACAAGGCGGCTACAAAAACAGGTTTTGAACTAATACCAAACTAATAACCTAATTAATTGCAACCTTGACATTAAAAGGTGTAACTAATATATTTGTAATTACTATAAATACATTTGCTAACAGAGCTGCTGAGGGGCACGGATTACAGAATCGACTTTGTACAGAAGTACTACTAGCCTACTTTTGACAATAATCAAAATCATTAGTTAACAAGTTACTGAATTACTCTTAACAGCTGCTTTCAAGTTCACTACAAACATTACTAACCGGCTAATGTGTTGTGCTCTTTTACAGGCCAAACTCTCTGTAGCCATTTTAAATTAGAGGCAAACACTGCACTTTAATCACAATCCAAATAAAGATGCTGCATACAAGAGCAGTTTCTGATTTAAATGAGATTCAGTTAGATGAAGTTTCAAAACCTGAAGCAAAAACACAATGGTCTGACTTTATCGATGCACCGATAGCACTTTTTCCAGAACGAGGCTGATACTTGTATTTTTGGTACTTGCGATACTGAGTACCATTACCTGCATTTAATTTGTGATTTGTAAAAATACTGGGTACAGAAACCCAAAGAATATGAATAATGTTAGTTGGCTTAGTTGATTTAGCAAACAGATATTTCCTTCAGTTATTTTCACACTTAATTACGCCCATTAAAATGTACTGTACAAGCTTGTGTTACAGTCTCTGGTTACTTTATTGCTCTATCGCAGCGGTTCCTAAACTACGGGGCGCGAGAGAATAACGATCTGTGTGCAAACATGCAGGCCCATCCATCTCACTAAAAACAGGTTGCAAGTAATATTCTTTATTAATAACTGAAATGTTGATGTTTTCTAATATACAGTCAGGGCTTGACATTAACGCTCGTCAGATGCGGAGCTCCACATTAATGCTCGTCTGGGACAGGAGGATATTTTCAGGCGAGAATGATTCTGATTTTCATTCTGATAATAATAGTAAATAATAATGTATTGACAGTAACAGTCTCGTCTGAGTGTGAGAGAATCTCGTGGAGAAATCAAAACAAATGAACACAACTGCACACAGAAGAAACTTACTGTGGTAAATATGTAGTTTTTATGTTTATAACATATAGCCTAGTTCAGCAACACGACACGTTCTCCCTGAAAACCACAACTGCAAACTTGACATTGATTTCATACAAGACTACAAACGAGTAGTTAATATTAAGTGACTTACATTTTAGTACAATATTATCAATGTTGACTGTTTTTGCTCGATTTGGTTAAAATAGTTCAAACAGAGATCGCAGCAGAACAGTCGCGCATAGAGGAGTGACACAGCGGTGTTTCTTTACTGAACGATTCGTGTTTTTGAATGAATAATTTGAGTCAATGATTCAGTGAATGAATTCATTCTTGAATGAATCAGCCATCTGAATGAATCATTTGAATGAACGACTCAATGACTCACTCATTAAAACAGTCACTTGCTGCCACCTGCTGGCGGTTTACTTTCATGTTTAAAAGTAGCTTATCTTTGCATTTTTTCCAACATTTCATATTTGTATATTTAAAAAAAAAAAAAACTGGTTTAAAACAGCAAGCTCATAACATGCTGTAATTGTACAGTTTAATGCATTCATGCTACATTTCAGCTTCATTAAACTGTATGTAAATGCATCTAAATGCCACTTCTGATTCTTCAGCAGTGGAAAGATCGGTTTTGTTAATACTGATTTCATTTGATTGGTAACAGCCCTATAGTGTCTTATTATATTAAGTGAAATTATTTAATAAAATGCAAGAATTTGATATGAAAGATGACGCATGCATTTAATAAGGTTAGGGAAAATGCCCTTTAAATAGGCAAAAAAATGACCTGGAAATCAATTTAAATAAATGTTAGTATGCAGTAACTTTAGTCATATTAAACGTAATTACCCAACAACAAAACTGTGGCCAGTGAAAATGCTAAGTGGCTAGTAATTTTGGAAAACCACTCGCCACAGTGGCTGGTGAGTTAATGTCTAGCCCTGTATACAGTGAATATCTGCATTATTGCAGTTAAGATGTTGTGTTTAACCGGAGTACGGTGGTGCGGTGCTGACAGACAGCTGTCAAACTCTCTATCATATCTCATCTTTAATTTAATAGCGCATTAGAGCTGCTCCATTGCAGCGGCTCAGTACTGTAATCACAAGACGTTTTCTTGTAACGATGCAGGGAATGGTATACTGTACATAAATCTTGTAACAGCGATGAACACATTTTCTGAATATAAGTAGAGTTTTTTTATCATCCGACACGTGCTGCGACTTATATTCCAAAGCACTCATATAATGCAATTAATATCAAGCTATCAGAACACATTTGTATTGGTGCAGAACGAGAGACGCGTACAGCATCACCACAGCACTTCACACAGGCTGCTACTTTCACTTTAGATAGTCGTGTATGCTTGACGTTTAGAATAAATGTTTATGGTGAATGCCCCTATAATTTGTTTGTTTTATATTTACGGTTTAGTTTTAATCCGAATGACGCATGTGTTAAGTGAGCGAACAGCGATCAAGATCGTGCAACAGAAGTGCGCGCTCTCTCTCCTTACCATCAAGTAACTTGTGTAACTTGTGCATTGTTTTATTTGCTTGCTTTTGGCATATCTGACCAAACTACAGGCTTTCCAGGGATGTCTGTGAGGAAGGGAAATCTCTGATTATCAGCTCGTGCACATCAGCTGTATCGGCGTGAATACTGAACGTTTAGCATTATATTATTGACATACATGTAGTTCATAGGCGTGCTTAATCTCTAATAACTCCATTCTACTCTCTGTTTGTCTGGACACAGCTCTGTATCTGGGCATTTTAATGAGTACGAGTACAGGAGAGCAGAATCAGGTCCAGTATGGTATCGGTGCATCCACAGAAATTATGCTACATAAAAACATCTGAACGAAACAAACCGTAGGAGCTCTGAATGAGACGCAGATTCACTCTGGTTTATGGCCATTCAAATGTTTTCTAACATGGTTTCGGGCCAGTGGTAAACCGTTCGTTCTTGGCTAAAGGAAAACTTTATATAAAAAAATGAAATAATAATTTTCCAGTACGACAAGATTTTCCAGGACATTTGACATTTTCCAGGATGCGTGGGAACCCTGCTGCTACGTACAGGATGTTTTGGTAACACTTTAGTTTAGGGACCAAATCTCACTATTAACTAGTTGCTTATTAGCATGCCTATTATTAACATATTGGCTGTTTATTAGTACTTATAAAGCATTTCTTCTACATGACCATATTCTGCATCCCTAATCATACCCTTTACCTAAACCTAACAACTACCTTACTCACTATTAATAAGCAGCAAATTAGGAGTTTGAGGTGAGAGTCGTAGTTAATGGTGTTAATAGCGAGACTTGGACCTTAAAATAAAGTGAGACCGAGGTTTATATAGTACACTGATCTGTTACATGTCTAAAGATCAAGCGAGATTTGACTCCTCAGTTCATGATCTCGTTAAAAGCACTGATACCTCTCCATCCCACGAGAAGCGTGTTTCAGTCAGGATCAGCGAGGAAGGCCAGACGGTTTTCTCAAAGAAGGGTTCGGGGCTTTAAATGGGTATTTTTGGTTTTGGCACAGTGAGTACAGATGCATCACTAGTTGTGAATGAATAAAGCTTCTATATAAACCCACTGTGATTGTGTGTATCAGTATACGGTGATCTCACATTCGTGTCTGTCATGCAGCGCAGCACAGCCACAGCTTTGGCCTCCCATTCAGTGAAGAGAGAAGTGATCTGAGAACTGCAGCAGTCTAGCAGCTCCTGAAAAATAAACGCATCAAAACAATCAATCAAACTTATCATAACAATTCATTCAAAAGAAGGCCTGGTCCCTAGAGATAGACTTGCACACTCCTGATGTACTGTATAATGTGTACAAACATATCAAGGACAGGCCAAATCCTTAGCATTGTGCTAGGAGTCTGAATGCACAAGTGTTTATCAGGTTTATATTAACCTGTAAAAGACACAAGGCGGCTACAAAAACAGGTTTTGAACTAATACCAAACTAATAACCTAATTAATTGCAACCTTGACATTAAAAGGTGTAACTAATATATTTGTAATTACTATAAATACATTTACTAGGAATGGGAAAACGGAGTTAATTTCTTGGATTAGTTTTGACTGATTTGCATGGTGTCTTTTATTCCTCTTACCTGTTTAAATGCATGTGTCTTTAAAAGAGTCTGTAAATTAAAGCAGCATGGCACGCAAACGCTCTCACTCTCACCAGTGCTGGGCTTTCACTCGGACTGTATGCTCACTGTTGGACTCTAGCTTTGGCACTATCAACACACTCGGACTGTTTTAGGGTATGGTGTCATGGACTATGCTTTTAACAGTCTGAGGTTTCCTAGTTTTATTGTGTTGTTTTATGTTTCATGTGAATATTGTAAATACACATTTGATTTTCAGTTTATAATTGTTGTCTGTCTCTTCTTCTTAAACACTCCCAAGCTCTCTCACAGTACAATCTGACCCCATTTAAACTGATGTAAAATAATACCCCAAAATACTTATATTCAATTTAATCTTATATCTAACTGCTATTTATTATATACAGCCTATAATATTCATACTTGAATAAAAAGCAGAGTCATCTCGTCGGTCCAACGCGCTCTCTGGAATAGTGTGCTTTGAGTTCATAAACAACAACAGCATGCAATGCAAGATCCTTTATATAAAAAAACTAAAATATATAATTTTAAAATGAATAAATATGAAAATTAGGGTAAAATATCTATCCATCTATGATCAAACATATCTGTAAAATAAAGAGATTAATTTAAATGGCAACTTCTTGATTCTGTTTTTGAATTGTTCACAAATAAAGAGATTGTTAAACATTTTAGGGAGTAAACACTAACTAACAGTGCACTCAGTAATCTGCTAAGTTTGCATGCACTGGAAATCATTGTTTCATTGTCACTCAATCATCATAACGATGCTTTACTGATGATCTGTGCAGCCCTCAGTGAAGAGCACAGAGAAACCCGTCTGACCTTGATGTAGTGTAAGAGGGTCTGGTCCAGGTCCAATCCGTTCTCAAGAGCATAGGGTTGAACACTGCTCTTAATCACAGCAGGAACCAGCTCCGGGGCCTGCACCTTATCCAGCATCAGGAAGGCCATGCTGCGCGTGCTTCCCTGCCACAGCACACACACAGAGAGAAAACAGCTCATCCGGGAATACTGAGAGCGTTCACGACTCTCACAGAGAAATACAACAGAGAGAGATTGATAACGGCAGTCAGAGGAGAGAACAATGCTAAATTCACCATCACTCTTACAATCGCTGTATTAGAAATACCCTTGGCAGCGTTAACTCGTTTTTTTTTATATATATATATATATATATATTTGTTTTTAACTCTGAATTTATGATGCTGATGACTGTGGAAAGGGTCCATCGAGCTAAAATTAAAATAGAGCTGCAATAGAAATGACAGAGTAAAGGACTGATAATAACTGATAATAATGAATGATGATTTGTAAATGTCTGTAATGTATGATCTGTATGATTTGTAAATCATTGCTTTACACAGAGCACTGCTCTGAGCACCACAAATTAAATCCTCTATCAAATCACGCAGGGACTACAAACACTGAACCTCATATGCAAACCTGAAATAATTAAGAAATTGCCATCACTGTAATATTTCACTGTATATTCATAAGTATTTTACACAGCACTGGGTTTTTTTGGGGTTTTACTAACAAATGAATAGGTTTTCTAAAACTATTATTATAACTTTGTTTTTAATGTGTTATTTTTATCGCAGTCTTTCACAGCCAGTGTTTCACATACTCACCCTTTCGTAGTCGGACAGTGACAGACGGCAGCTGTATTTGGAGTCGAGCTCACACAGCTGTCTGAGGTTAGCCACCAGTGACCGCAGGTTTAGCACTTCTTCTGATACACAGTTTTCAGCCTGAAAAACAATGTCATTCTCATCTGAGCACAAACGCATCGTTCTGGTCAGTGCTACTATTTCTCACAATGACTTACCAGGAATGTGGTCAAACAGATTAAAAATGTGGGACAAACTTGACATTTACCAAACCCATAGACCTCCAGAGGGAAGGCAGGCCAAGTTCAGCCAGGACCAGTCCATTATGAGGCCAGTCACTCTATTAGAAAACAAATCAATCAATAAATGAGTACATAACTAACCTGAGAGAGAAAGAGTCGTTGCATTTACTTCGGCCCATTCGCAGCAGGTCCACCAGACAAAGACTTTAAAGCTTAACTTCACTGAGGGTCAATGATTTTTATGACTATACATCAATTATGACACTTTGGCTAATTAAATTAGTTAAAAAGTGACGTGACATGTGGCCAAGTATGGTGACCCATACTCGGAATTAGTGCTCTGCATTTACCCATCCAAAGTGCGCACACACAGCAGTGAACACACACACACCGTGAACACACACTCATCAGAACGCAATGCTCTGTTTGAATAGGTGTGGCGGATTGTAGACCCGGAAGTAAACGCCCACTGCTATGATTGGCTAACAGTTGTGTATGTTTGACAGCCTACATCCTTCATAGATGGGCGCTGCTGTGATTTAGGTTAAAAACACATAAATACTCAGTACATATCAAACGATCTGTAATAACAGACAGAGCAATAGTGATCACATAATAAAAACAGTTACTCACACTGCGACATTACTGTCTGATCCAATATATTCAGCACAGCATCGCCTTTTAGTTTCAAACTTTGTGCCTTGTTTGTAAACTAATCCGCAGTCAAATTAAGTGAACAAAGGACAGTTTTCTTACTGACGCATTATCATTAAAAATAAAGTTCATCCTCTCTTTCCTAATGTTGGGATCAGCAAAGACTGTTTTTCCACAGATTGGCACTGAACAACGTCTTGTCTTCGGAGCATCTTTATCGTTTGTTTCTGTGTAGACCCGCGTTTGCCTCTCTCGTTATTTCTACTACTGTACATGTGCGAATCGGTGGGCGGAGCTAAACAGGCAGTGATGTAGAATCGGTGGGCGGGGCTAAACAGGCAGT